ACCACGCTCAGCCTCAACTTACATCAGTTTGCTCATTAGATTCCCATCATCCTACCTCCATAACATAAGGCTACTACTGAGGACCCTTCATTCCTAGGTGGGAGGAGGTAAGTATCTAGAAGGTTCTGTTGTACCACCAACTTTGCATATCCCCCAAGTGATCTGAGGGCTATGATTGGCTACTTCAAAGTAGCAAAGATTTGACCTGGGTTCAAGTCTGACCATATTGGTTACATGACCCTTAGGTCACTTAACTTACCAGTATCAAGCAACTCCCTTAAGCTACAAATTGCTAACCAGATGCTGACCTGCAAAGGTAGAAGGTAGAGGCAATTTCCCTCCAGTGAAATCTCAGTTCCATTCCCTCCATTGGCCTCTAAAAAGGGAATATTGGCAATTGAGGAATGCTCATTGATACTATCTTAATCCTGATTTTTATCAATTCACTCCTAGGATACTCTAATACCCTATTACCTGGCCTTTCTGCCTTCAGTCTCGTCCCTCTACCCTAAATCTACTTTTTTGGCTTTGTATTTATACATTATAGATTTGCCCAAGAAGGAAGGAGTCCAGGAAAGCAATGCTCTATCCCTAGGGAAGACATAATGGTTGACTGCACCTTCAGTCTTTTCTGCCACGCTCACATTCACACTTGTGAGTAGACATCACCATCAGGATCAGGGCCATTTCCAAATATGCAAAATAGCAATAATTGGTTTTTAATCTAATAATAATAGATAGCATTTAGATATACTTGCTTTAAAGTTTGCAAAGTACTTTACATATGCTATCTCACTTGACCCTCATATGAGACCTAGGAGGTAGGTGCTACTATTATTCCCATTTTTCAGATGAAGAAACTCAGGCTGAGAGAAGGTTAAGTGATTTGCCCAGTACCACACAGCTAACTGAATGTCGGATGGAGGATTTGAAACCAGGTCTTTCAGATTCCAAGTCCAGCACTCTAGTCACAATACCACTTAATTAACTACAAATGAAGGTCAAGATATTTAATAAATAAGAGGTAATCACCTACCTATCCCAGGGAGAATGTGTCATATGAGAATTTAGTTTACTTTGGTAATCTTCCCTCTATGATCATGATGGGTCAACATGGTCCCCTATAAACACAGCAACCTCACCATATTTACCACCAGGCTTCCTAGCTCTTGTTTAGATTCCTTTGGGCAGCATTCAATCTATGATCTAGAGCTCACAGACAAACCAATAGGAATTAATTACCCAACTAAAACTGCATGGGGTCACATATCAAATCCTTTAATTAAATCCAGATGTATCACATCTACTTTGATCACTTCTTTTGTAATTCAAACTAAAAAAAGATTTGAAGCATGCCTAGCAAATCCACTCTGTATAAATCACAACTCCTTCCTCACTTGGGATTTAGAGTTATTTTATAATTATTATAAATATCACAAAATATTATGTTATTATATAAATATATAATATTATAAAATAATTATAAATATATCATACATATTACATATATTATTGTCTTAGCATTTGCCTTTTTTCAACACTTACTGATATCTTTTGTTTGTACATTACCTTCTTTTCCTAATATATTCCTCCAACCCTCACAAGAGCCATATCTTATAATCTCTTACATAAATTTTTTTTTAAAAGAGAGAGAAAAAAAGTCAATTCAGCAAAATAACTGGAATATCAATCAAGTCTGTCAATATCTGCTGTGTTCCTCCTCCGTGGTCTCCCAGCTCTACAAAAAAGGGAAGGTGGAGCATTCTCCTCTCTCTCCTTCTATCCTCATAATTATATGGCATTTGACTTCTTGCTGTATTTTCCACTTACATTGTCATACTTTGTTTTATATGTTGTTTTTCTGGTTCCAAGTACTTACCCTTGCATCAGTTCATGTAAGTTTTCTCATGCTTCCCTGAATTCTTCACATTCATCATTTCTTGCAAAACAGTAATATTCCATTCCATTCTTTACCACAATTCATATAACAATTCCCCAATCAATAGACATTTCCCTCATTTCTGATTTTGCTTTTCTGTTATGTGATTACCAATATCAACCAAGATCATAGATTCGTCTACTAATGTTTATTTGATAGTTACCATGAGTAACTATGTTTACCAATGTAAACATACACACTCACAAATTGAATCCAACAAGAAACCAACTTCTAGTCTTCAGATAACTGTTACTATCCTCCCAACTGAACCATCTTTGAATGGTCACATTAAACCCCATAGTTCTGAAACTGAGCTTACAGCATTCTAATCATACTCTAAACTCAAGGTTCTAGTGAGATATCATATACAAAAGCCCTTTACAACTCTTAAATCATGATTTAAATTTCAGTTATTATTTTAAATAATTTGGAATTTTATTCACAACTGGGGTCAAATATAACATGACAGCCATGAGAGCAGGCTGCTTCAATTCATTAAGACTTGACCTAAGAATTCCTGTAGGCCAAGTCAAATGATTAGAAAAATCATTTTAAAAAATCATTAGGGGCAGCTAGGTGGTACAGTGGATAGAGCACCAGCCCTGGAGACAAGAGAACCTGAGTTCAAATCTGGCCTCAGAGCAGACACTTGACACTTACTAGCTGCGTGACCCATGGCAAATCACTTAACCCCAATTGCCTAAAAAAAAAAATCATTAAATCATTTAAAAAAATCATTAAAAATCATTTTTAAAAAATGATTAGTAAAGGCAGTAAAAGGAGGGGTCATTCAAAATTGATAAATATTTTCCATTTGGTCAGTCTCAGATGGGGCCACAAGCCCTACATTCACCCCTTCACATGAAAGAAGATATCAACCTCAAATGCACAGGAGTTAATAGCCAGAGCATTACAAAACAGAGTAACTATCTTAAAGCTTCAAGTTCTGGCAAGCCTTTGAAGTCAGCTAAATAAAACCTACATTGTCAGACCATCATCACCAGGGTTAATCTCTGAGAATTAGGACACAGTACTCCATTTTAATGCCAGTTTTAGCTTAAGTCCCATCAGTGTCTATTATAATGCTTAGTTCTCTAAATCTAATTGTGTAAAGAGGTAAGAAAGAAACTTGCCATTTTATCAAATTGCATTTAATAAAGGGAAGGGAATAAGCATTTATTAAGTGCTGACTATGTGGCAGTTGCTTTGCAAACATTATCTCATATGATACTTACAATAACCCTGGGTCATAGGTGCTATTATTAACTTCTTTGTACAACTGAGGAAACTGAGGCAAACAGAGATTAGATGACTAGCTAGTTAAGTACCTGAGGCCAGACTAGAGCTCCCATCTTCCTGACTCTGGGCCCAGTGCTTTATCTAAACTTCAATAATAAAAATATCAGCTCTTAACATTATCATTTTAGCATATGCATCTTTAAAAGCATGAAGTGCAGAGCAACTATTCATCACCCTTTTTGGCAATCATAGGCTTTTTAAGGCTAAAGTTAAATTTTTCAAAATCTTTATTTTTAAAGACTATCATTACCATTATAGGTAATATAACAGGGACTCACTATCCTTCCTAGAAGAAATAAATGAGTGTAACAGATGCCCTGATTAGAGACAGAAATACATCTGGTAAAATGCAAGAAATGGAGATACCATAGTATTGTGGATAAAGTGCTGAGTTTGGATGTAATAAGAATAGGCTCAAATCTCACTTCTGATGCTTAACTAGTTATGTAACCCTGGGGAAGTCACTTAACCTCTTCCCTCATGTATAAAACAAACTCTCTAGGAGTGTATTCCTTGGTGGCAACAATTCCCACATCAGGAGTTCTCTATGCAGATGAAATCACAAATGTACCTTTAAAATACAAGTTGATGGTTAACAATTATAATACTTCCCACTTTCTTAAGACCACAAGTCAAGACCTTATAAGCATTTCCCTTCTGATAAAGTCCAAAGGATGAGGTGCCCCTGTTTTCTGGAGAAAGGTTATGAAATGACAAGGCTTTAAGATGATGGTAACTAATGTCCAATATTATGGAAATAAAAGTCTAGATTTGCTTGTTTTTAATGCAATTGAAATACTGATTCATGGTTGAATCATTTTTGTGGATTATTTGAAGCAACATTTTAATCTTGAATTGACTGCCCCAACCAACAACATTGCCTGTTAGTCCAGCACATCTGCTGAAAGTGTAAACTAACTTAACATTAGCCAAAGCGTCACTAAAGAAAAAAAGCATATATATGTAAACATGCAGCAAAGTGAGCAACCCACTCAATATATTCCAAAACCAAGCAGAAATTAATTTGGATTACCTGCTGTTTGGGATTATGCATACAACAGTATGACTGGAAAGCCATTATAATTTCAAAACCCTGGAGCATCAGCAAGGTATGAGTGGTAAGGTGCTGTGGAAGCAGCCTTTAGAATTTCATGACACTTCTCTCTACCCATCTCTCACCAACCAAAACAAATTGGGTCTTATCTTCCTAGAGATAATTAACAAAGTGCTTTCTGAAATGGAGAGCGGCTAACATAATGTCTTCCAGAGAAGTGACTAAATATAGAAACACCATGGACTACAAGATAATGGGATTTGTTTTCCCTAAAAACAAAATGGGAAGGGGTTCTCTTGACAGAAGATGTATCTTGCATATTTCTTTATGATAGAAATATTTGTTAATTAGCAGAGTGCTTAGTACATAGTAAACATGTAACAAATGTTTTATCTGTCTATTTGATTTGATTTTCATGGTAAAATGAAAGTAAAAACTTACTCAAATGGGGAGGGGTGAGAGAAGGCAGTGAATAAACCTAAGTATAAATATTATCTTCAAGAAAACACAGAACAGATGAAGATATGAGCAAAATTACTAGGATTCTTCTTCTAAATGGAGCATTAAGCAACAAATATAGTTTTAACTTGTTCAGTTCAGGCACAGCATATTTAATTAGCAGCTGAAAATCTACCCTGCATCTCAGCTCACTAGGAGGTGCTTTAAAAAATACCACAAATGCCCACAATGGTTATTAAATGTACTTACTGGCATCATCCATGAAATCAAAATCACCCCCTAGTTCAGAACTGGATAAGTGATACTGATCTGGGTCTGCCATGGCGCTCAGTAGGATCAGAAGTACCACAGCATTGATGATCTACAGTGGGAAAAGAGGGAAAAAGGCAAAACATTATCTTTGAAAAAGACTCTAAGGACAAACTGATAGTAGATATTTATTATAATAAAAATAACTAACATTTATATAGCACTTTGAGGCTTGCAAAGCACTTTTCAAATATTATCTCATTTGATCCTCACAACAACCCTTAGAGATAAGTGCTATTATCACCACCATTTTACAGATGAGGAAACTGAGGCTGAGAGAGATTAAATGACTTGCCAAGGGTCACACAGCTAAGTAAGTGTCGGAGCTGGGATGTTTGAACTTAGGTCTTCCTAGTTTCAAGTCCAGCCCTTTATCCGTTGTGTTATCTAACAATCCATTTTCTGGCTTCAGTCTTAACCTTGAAATAAGTTCAATTACTCTTCCCCACGAGATGGCAAAGATGACAAACCATCCCTAAGGCCAAGGGCCAGTGCACTGAGTGCATCCTATTGTGCCGCCACTCAATATTTTTACAGTAAGTTCTTATTTCAGTTACAACCCTTAGGATATAAATCACAGGAATTAATTCATTCAATATAGAAACTGAGAAACAACCAGGCATAAATCAACTTTTCAGCAAAAATAAGCACTGCAACTGGAAAGAGGAAATAACAAAAGAAATTATGGCATGATGGCTTGAAAAGCCAACTATCCATGGCTGCCAATGAGGATGTCTGCATCAAACTTATTTATTAGGTTCTTCTCTGTATAAGGCTGATGTTCTAGGGGGTAGGAAAAATAAATTAAGTATGCATGACTTCAATTTAATGCTACAGAACAAATATTAATAAGTACCTATGAGGTTCCCCACACTATGCTAAGTGCTAATTTCTGGAGATGCATAAACAAAAATGAAACAATTAAGGGGCTTACAGTCTACTGAGAGAAAGCACCATCTATACAGATAAGTAAGTGCAAATATGAATATGAAACAAATACAGAGAAAATACCAATATACATGCAAAATAAATACAAAGTAAGGGAGGGGAGCAGAGCACTGTGGGAAGCAGAAGAGGTCTTTTATAGGAAGTGAAACTTAAAACTGATCTCTCTGACTCCCCTTAAGTCCCAACTAGAATCCCACCTCCTACAGGGAACTTTCCCTAACCCTTCTGAAATTCCAGTGCTTTCCCTCTTTTAATTATTTCCTATTTTTTCCTGTATGGAGCTTGCTTTGTATATATATTTTTTGCATGTTGTCTCCTCCATTAGATTGTAAGCTCCTTGAGGGTAGGGATTATCTTTTGCCTTTTTTTTCATCCCCAGTGCTTAGCACAGTGCCTGGCACATAGTAAGTACTTAATAAATGTTTATTGAATTGAATTAAACTAAGCCTTGAAAGAAGCTAGGATCCCAAGAGTCAGAAGTAAGAAAGGAAGGCATTCCAAGTGTGGGGCACAGCCTGTGCAAAGGCATAGCACAAAACGATGAAACGTCATGTATAGGGAACAGCAAGTTACCAGCTTGTTGAGTTCATGATGGGGAGCAATATGTACTCAGCCTCGAAAGACAGGTTGGAGAAGGATTGTGGACTGCTTTAAATGTCAAACATAAGAATTTCAATTGTAACCATGAGGCAATAGGGAGTCATTGAAATTTCTTGAATAGAAGAGTAAAATTCCTTCTAGATACTTAAGACAGACCAGAAGTAAACAGGAAATCAGTATAGCCCTAACTGTTTTTCCCCTTGCTTCTTTAATCAAAGGATCATAGATGTAGTATATACTACAAGGAACCTCAGAATCCTTCTAGCATGACCCTTCACTTTCTAGATGAATAAACTGCTATCAAAGGACGTCAAGTGATTCACATAGGAATTAAAGAGCAGAATCTGGAACCAAGTCCTTTTTTTGTTCAAGCAAAGATAAGATTAAAGATCTGCCATATTGGCCAGACTCTTAAGGAATCTAAACATTTTCAATGCTGGTATTTAGAGGGCTTCAGCAAGTCTCAGCCATTGGCTACATTTTAAGAATGTCTAGCCTTTGGCTAGACTCTTAAAGAATCTGAGAATTGGCTATATTTTAAGAATCTCAGTGTCTTAATGGAGACAAGATGGACCTTCTATACAGAAAAGACTGTGGGAAGGATCTAAGAATGGCCAAGTGGTTTGGGGTGACTGGAGGAGGGGTCTAGGAGAAAGGATCTAGGAAGTGACTGGGAGGTCAAGAATGGGGTCTAGATAGGATCAAGGGTGGGAAGCAGCTGGGGGCCATGGGGAGGTTACTAACAATGGAGGGCTAGGCTAGGTTAAGGGTAACAGGAGAATTGGGAGATTTGGTGTAGGAGATAATGAAAGGCCGGTTGAGTGGATAATAGCTGAGGGCGAACTCTAGAGACTTCCTTGATAAAGTGGGAGAATTCAAGGAGAGTTTAAGGAGAGGGTTTCCAAACCCTGTACCCAGTCACTCCTTCCTCAAACAAATGGGACCCAAATTATTTTGGGTAAGGGTCAAATGTCTCAGCTTGGGCCTGTACCCCATCATCCCCCCCCCAAATAAATGGAATGCAAATTCTTTTGAGGTAAGGGGCGAAGGTCTTGGCTTCTGAAAACAGCTTCTTGCTGGCAAGGGGCATTGAGTCCCTGCCTTGGTAGGTCCCATTGAAGGGGGTCAGACTTAAGGTCCAGTGGGCTAGAGACCGTGGATTCAGTCAGAGGTTGGTATATAGCCTGAGCAGTTGTCTGGAAGTTGATGGCTAGGACCCTGGAGGGGACAAACCTGGCTAGGAAGTTAAGCAAACAAGGACCAAACAGTCACAAGAAGAGTATAAAGAAAAGACAATTTCCCTGGAGAGAATTAAAGATGACTATGGCAAGGTAAAAACATAAAAGGAAAAGGACATGTATGATTTCACCTCTTTTTATCCACCTGTCCTGTGGAGGGGACTGGGGCCTTTCCAAACAGTAGCTTGAGGTCCTCCAAGGATTCACAGCTATATTCCAGAGTCTTTGGGTACGAGGTGGGCAAGCCTGACAAACTTATTACGGAAACCAAGTCCTTTGACTCCACAGCCAGTGATCTTTCTACCGTACCATATTGTCTCCTCAGTCTTTTGATGCCATATGGTCTAAATGGTCTTTAAGATCAAAGATTTAATAGGAACCTTTGTGTGGACTAAGCGAGACAGCCTTAGTATTTAGGTGGTCAGAAGTCTTAGGTTCACCTCCTAGCTCAGTGACTTACTATCTCCATGTCATTGGGTCAATCTCTTAACTGCTCTGACTCAACTCCTCTTACTGACCCCTGTAAGGATTGGCCTACTCTTAGGCCCTAGATGACAGAAGTGGTTCCATATTTGACAACTGCCAAAGTACAGGAAAATTTCCATGCACCCAATACTTGGTTGTAGGGCAGCTAGGTGGCACATAGAATGTTGGCCCTGGAGTCAGGAGGACTAACTGTGTGATGCTGGGCAAGTCACTTAACCCTGTTTGCCTCAGTTCCTCATTTGTAAAATGAGTTGGAGAAGGAAATGGCAAACCACTCCAGAATCTTTGCCAAGCAACCCCAAATAGAGTCATGAAAAGTCGGACACAACTGAAAGGACTAAATAATACTCGTTTAGTCAGCGTCATTTAAGTAAGGAATGCAATGTTCTCTAGGTCATAATTAGTTTAGCAAACTTCTGCTAGTCTATATATATGCAAGATTAGCAAACTGTCCTAAGTGTGATGCCCTTGTGATAGATAAGGGCAGAAGCATGGGTCGCTATCCAGGTCATTCTCTGATTGACTACCCAAGGATCCCTTTCTCACTCAGTCCCTGTGAATCTGCCCAGTAACAAAAATTAGATATAGAGGTGGAGACACAGAATCATGATTCTTGACTGGGGATACACATATCACCATATGCCCATGTCATCACCTCCTGACTGTCCATGGGACTAATGGGCTGGGGATCTAAGTGCTTGCATGTCCATGAGTAATAAACTGTCTGGTACAGAATGCTAGATGTTCAAGGCTTTCTCCAATGTCTCATGACAGTGTTACAGGTCTCACAGACTGGGTCTGAGTGATCCAATATCACCCTGGTCAGTACTGGAAGGGCCCACTGCTGCTCTCTGGGGCTCATTAAGGTCTCCTCACTCCCTAGAGCTTTCTGACCACCCTGGTGCTTCCTCAAGAGAATCCTCTACACAAAGCCCCTGAAGGCTAAATTTGCGCTATCTTTGGTCAGGTCGATGTGGTCCTTTCCTATTGCCTATGGCACTCTTGATTTTTTTTGTGCAGTCTGTGGGGTGGGAAAAGTCACTGTAGTTTCTCACTGAATTTCTTGATCAGTGTCCAGTCTGATGTGAATTTTTCAAGGTTTTGCTGGAATAAGTAAGTGGGGGCTAGGCAGCCTGCCTCCACTCAGGAAGCCATTTTGGCAGGAAGTTTTGCTATAATTAGCATTTATACAGCATTTTAAAGTTTGTGAAGCACTTTACAAATATTATTTTATTTTGTTATCACTTGGAAGGTAGATATTATTATTTCCCACATCTGACAGATGAGGAAACTGAGGCAAACAGAGGTTAAACAACTTGCCCAGCCAGAAAGTGTCTGAGGCTGAATCTGAACTCAGACATTCCTGACTCCAGGTCCAGTGTTCTATTCACTATGCCACCTAGATGCATGCAATAAAACTGTATTTCTTTAAATATTCATTGGTTTATTCATTTAATGAATATTTACCGGATGCTATCTATGTGTTTAGCACTGTGCAGGATGCCTTCAGAGACTGGAGAATGAAAAGAAATATGGCATTGACACTGCCCTCAAGGCATTTATGATGGTAGTTGTAGGTGAGGAAAGAGAAGGATAGCTAATATTTACCTCTGAGATTCATTTCAAATCTGAGATTTTGTGATTCTACTTGTGATGGTTTTTCTTTCTAACTCATTTGCAAGCTCTTTAGGGACTTGTGTTTTAATGGAAAGAACATTGAACCTGAAGATTCCATTAAAGTCCTGGCTCTCCTACTTACCAGCTGTATGACCTTGAGCAA